CTATGGTACTGCTCATGTCTATAGGCGACGGTTACCGCTTTCTATCAGGTGGGCCGTCAACTTGTTTGCTATTCTAAGTTGTTTAAAAAAAAATCTTGAAATTTATTTAGATATTTACATTTTATATCTACGAAACATCCTGCCGTTAATTGGTGTATTTTGCAAAGATTGAATTTACATACATATATACATATCTGTCACGTCTATCTCCCATTAGAGTAGACAGAAACAATGAAATGCCAAATGCTTCGATTCAAACAAACCTCTTTTCGCTTCCTCTACATTTTTCATACACACACGCCAGTTATGGGTACTTTAAATTAATTTACTATTTATTTATTTATTGTTTTGCTTCGAAAATTAGCTTAAGTACCTCTGCCCCTTCGTGTTTCAACCGTAAAGCAGTTGTGTTTGCATGGCTGTGTTTCGGTTTGAAGGGTGGGATATGGCGTGAATTTACAGGGTACAGAGGAATAACAACTGAGTCCTTAGGAATGGCAACGCATGGCGGGTATCATGGGCGAAACATTGTCATTCTAAGTTGTATAAAAAAAAAAGTATAGTAAACATGTATAATAACATTACGCGGTGGTTTATAGTAAATATTTTATATGTACATATTTTCTTACGTAACATATTGTGCATAATATGATTACTATAATTATAATAACTTGATTGTTTACTATGATGCAAACAATTATATTGCAGTTAATAGTTGCATGTGTGCATACATACAGTAAGATGTATTAAAGTAGCCGAGGCGCGTGTTAATTGTCACTACGCTACTATGCGAAAGCGGTGCACATCTCTGTTGCGTAGGGTCCGGGGCAGCTCCAACGCTATCCTTAGGGTATTGGCGGACCGTCCAGACTGCCGGTATTTGAATCGTTGCAGAATGATTATTTTATCACTTTGTTACGAGGCAACTGAAAAACTGTGGTCTGGAAAGTAATAACATACAGTACACATACATCTTTCATGTGGATTACACAACACACATTCACACATACTCACGAATATTCCCACATTCATTTACTTAACTTCGTTTCTCTTAAAGGCGTATATTATTAGTGTTTTATAATTGCTTCTGTATCTATATTGTTGATTTTATTACTTTTTTCACTATTTCGATTTTATATTTCTTTTTATATGTATTAATACCCGCCCACTATGTATTTTTTATTATAACACATTTGTGATTTCTTAATCTTTGTCGGGTGCCCATGATACAGGTTCGCCTAGTGTGGGCCCCATTGTATCTTGTGTTTGTAACTTTGTGTTTTTGTCAAATAAAATAAATAAAAAAATGATTCACATGTTGGCTAACATACAAAAAAGTAGGTTATGTTAATGTTATTTATTTACAAGTGTCAAAATTTAATTTATAAATTTATATCTGGTACAAACTAATATTGTTAAAATTTTGTGGGTCCCGGTTGCCTTGATTAAAGAATTTATTTATTATTATTATTTTTTAAATTCTACAAAAAAATCACATTTCCCTTCATAAGGAGAGGAGATGGCAAACTAACGCTAGAAGCTAAACTAGAAGCACAGTCGGCCGGGTTTCAGGGCCCCAGGGAGAGATTATTGTTATAATGATTTTTGCTAGTTATTTTTTACGTTACATTTAAATACACACTGTTCTAATTGATATTATAAATTTGAAAATTGTTTGTTTAACGTATATCGTCTTAACAGCTTAATAAATCTTTATAAAATTTATTATACACGTACTGTACATGTTTTGTCGTCTTCGAATAAGCATATACCGAGAATATACTTCTATATGCCAAATTCCTTTTATATTCATTCAGTTATTTAAATATATGTGCAACAAATATTCAAGGGATAGCCAGCAGTGTCCCTCTTGAAACATCACCAAAGGCTTACCAAGTATGGTAACTATTGGCAAAACTCTCCTTATGGGGAAGGCTCCTTAATGTTCAGCAGTGGACAGCTGACGGCTGATGGAATAATTTTTTTTTATTATGATATTAATTAATCAAAGATCACAGTATAATATAGCAATTTAGTATAATATAGCATTGAACGCCAGTGAACTTTGTAATTTCAAAATATTAAAAATGTAGCAACAACTAGTTTTTTTTTTCTAAAATGTTCAAACTGGTATTAAAAAAATATACACTAAGTCATTATTAAAGATTTTTTGAACAAAAAATGACTGATCGAATAGAAAATAAATAATGAATAAACGATCAATTATTAGGAGTAAATTCCATATGGTCCCGGCGTAGAATGCACTGCCTCTTTGTTTTTTGTGGATGTCGCAAGAGGCATCTAAAGGAACTTCATGGTGGAGGGGTGGGCAACAACGTCCCTCTTAAAACATCATTAAAAGGTAGCTGCGGTTACTTACTCGTTTGCTAAGTGTGTCAAACTAATGTAAAAAAAATCCCAATGGCAAACTGCCATTAAGAACGACCTCGTTCCTTATGACAGTCTATGATGGGGACTTATGTTCAGCAGTGGACAGATAAGATATGGTAAAGGAGTAAATCCTATTTATTGCTTGTTATGATCTTTTTAATATCTGTATATATATATATATATATATATATATATAATACCTAAATACATATGTATATACCTACATTCGATCACTTTCCATAGTACACCGTATATAGGGAGAAAAAATCGATCTTATAATATATATAAAATAAAAATAAAAAAAAATAAGAATTATAGATTCAACTATGTTTTTAAGAATAACACTCTTAGATTATATAGATAGAGTGTCTCCACACAAATGTTTCGAGAAAACCGGGCCACTTTTTCATACAATTTTGCGTGATAACTACTTATTATTCAATTATAACTTCTATATTTATTTTGTCTTATAAATTCTGTATCTTTTTAATGCATAAATACACTTTCTTTTTTTAAATAATATGTCTAGATTCATTTTATGCGTAAGTATATAGAATACTGGAAAAAAAGAACGAGTCATAACAAAAACTTGAGCTATCTATATAATCCAAGATAACACTATAAGAGAATTTTAATTGGAAAAAACACGTCGATGTTGTGTACAAAAAATTAATATATTCGTGTTTACTCTCTATAGATTGAGACAGGTTTTAGCCCACCAGATAGCAGTTAGTGCATACTATGGGTTTATATCAGTCAATGCTACGCCATGGCTTAATAATTTGAAGTAAATCCACTGAAATAGAGAAAGTATTTGAAGTCCAAAATAAGAATTGTACGAGTACACTAGCGTTGTGTTATGTAACTTGGGTAATAGAGAGTCATCTGTACCAATCTTTAAAAAAAATAAACATTCTACATTGAATTTTATTGCCATGTTTATATTACATTCACAAATAAAGAAAAATATGAGGATAACTAAAAAAAAATAAACAACTACCAAATAATTAAAATCTACTTTAGTTGTGATACAACCAGTTATTTTGATCTAAAAACTAAACTACTAGAGCGATATATATATATATATATATATATATATATATATATATATATATATATATATATATATATATATATATATATATATATATATATATATATATATGAATAAATAAATAAATAAATAGATATCGTACAGAGGAATAACACCTGAGTCCTCAGGAATGGCAACGCATGGGGGGTATCATGAGCGAAACAGTATACTCTGTTATGTCCATGGTACTGTTCATACCTATAGGCGACGGTTACCATTTTTCATCAGGTGGGCCGTCAGCTTGTTTGCCATTCTAAGTTGTATAAAAAAAAGATTTGGAGAAAATTTCTATGGAACCAAAATGTATTACTTTACACTTTTAGATAATTAAAGAATTTTCCAATTCAGTTAAGATCTAACGATGTTATGTGACAACAAACATAAAAAAAAATACAATCGATTTGAACATCTTGAACCTTTCTAGAATTTGTAAAGCATTTGAGTATATTTATGTTACATTCACATACAAAGCAAAATGTGAGGATGACTAGAAAAAAGCCGGTTAAGTGCAAGTTGGACTCGCGCGACGAGGGTTCCGTACAAAACTTTATTTTGTATAAGCGTGTAATCTTATTGTGATTTGAAATTATTTAGACTACTGACATTTAAATATAATAATAAAATAATTTGTAATTATAATTATATGATTATTGTTGTGATTTTTATTATTTTTTATTGATATAGGTATGACGTAATAGTTGAATAATTTGCATGCCTACTGTTAATAGGTATACTGCAGCGCTGCCATTTGAAACCAGTGTGGCATTAACAATATATATTGGAATATATGTGCAAATAAATATTGATTCATTCAAATCCATTTGTTAAGAAACGAAAACTTATAATAATTTTAATTTAATACAAAAAAAAATCCTTTATTGTCAATATGACTTTTACTTATAAAATTTTAAACACTTAATTTAAAGCAAAATACAATTAGAAAAAGAAAGATTATTTTTTTATTAAATACAAATTTAATAATAATTAAATTAAGTAACGAGTGATGGATAGCAGCATTTCCTTTAAAACAACTCCAAAGTCTTACTGGATTTGCCAATCCACTTGCCAAGCGTGGCAACTACTGGTACAACCCCCCAAGGGAGATGGTTATTCAGCAGTGGACAGTTAAAGGCTGATATGATGACGATGATGATTATAAGTAACAAAGACAGATGTCATAACACTATTAAAAATATTTTTTTATGCAGCTCTGAATGACACACATGGTGATAGCCAATCTAATTTAAAGTGGTCACAGTCGCCTTTGAACATGACATAGTATTCTGTGAATATCACAGAATATACTATGTCTCCCATGGTATCCCTTATACATAGTCATTCCTACTATATTACTATACCTCTGTATCCTGTAATATGAAATCATTTCACATGTGCAAACTATTTTATGGAAGAAACACGTGTAGGATGTGACTTTACCTCACCTTAGGCAACTTAAGTAACTTTTTTACCTCTTTCTCTAGTAAAAACAGATTTAAATACATAAAAATGTACTCACCGCTATTGCGCTCCATGAATTTGGTGTATGAGTCCAGGATAGACATGTTGAATGTTGAATTACCACCTGTAAAAAAGAAAAATTAAATGAGTCAGATAATTTCCTAAGAAAAAAAGAAAAGGGAAAAAGTAAAATATATAATATTATATAAAATATATATATATATCACTTTATATTTTCTCGAATAATTAATTAATTTAAGAATAGCCTACGTAACTTGTTATTAAATATTATTTTATTGTTATTTTTTTAAGCAAGTTGGAATGGCAAACAAGCTGACAGCCCACTTGATAGAAAGTGGTAACCGTCGCCTATAAACATGACAGTACAATGGACATAACAAAGTATACTATTTTGCTCATGATACCTCCCATGCGTTGCTATTCCTGAGGACTCCAGTGTTATTCCTCTATACCCTGTAAATTCACTGCCATATCCCACACTTCAAACCGAAACACAGCTATGTAAACACAACTGCTTCATGGTAGAAACACGAATGGGACAGAGGTGTCCAAACAAACGACTTTTGTACAAAGTCTCCTAGTGGTAAATGTTATTATTGATATAAATATAACATAATTTTTTTTTAAATGTTAATATTTATTGCTATAATATTTATTTGATTTAATGTATAAAAATGATGCATAAACTACAGATTTATACAACATAAAGAACAGGACATGAATGAAATATTGATTTATAATTTAAAATAAATTTGACAACATGTTCAGATAAATAAATCATTTGAATTGAATTAATGCACCACCTACTTATTTTTCGGTTTTCCTAATGGATGACTAATAGCGATCCGGTATTAAGTCCGCAAAATGTACACGGAATTTCACTGTGCATTAAGGTTTAAATAAATAAACAATACTATCTCGTATCATAATAATCATAAATATCTTTTTAAAATTCTTGCTTTTTATATGTATATAACAGTGAATTTGAAAGCTTCTCATTTTTGGCATCTTAACAGTTCAGATAATAATTTGAATACAACTCCCAAAATATTGAAAATAATGACAATAGCAGTAGTAACTTTTAAAAAATAAACACATTTAAGTCTAAAACATTTATTATAAAAAAATATAAAAATACAATAAATCATTTCTATACGACAGAATCGGAATAGCAACAAAAATAACGGTCTGCCTAATGGAGAGAGAGAAAGATTACTTATAGACGATTGTCTATAACAATTTAAGTCTTTAATTGTTATGTTGGCACTATTGAATAATCGAACATAATTATACAAAAAAAAAATATGAAAATCAAAAGTGGAACTAACCTTTCAATTTATAAAACGGTATATCCGCTAAAGATGTTTGTCGATGACAAAACAAATCTTATAATGTCAACCAGAAATAGTGTCACTCCGTAGAATGCCGGCAAATTAATGTCACCATAATATTCTACACAGCAACTTATTGGTAAATATAAGGAATGGTAGCACTGTGAATACTGCCCTGTGTGATGACCAGGTACACTATGGACCTTTTTTTTCACTTAAGTATTATATTAGTTGTGTTGATAATTAATAACGTAATTACATTATTTGGAATTCGTGATATTTAATAAGGTTGAATCCATTTTATAATGCAACTTGAGCTAATTATGTATTAAGTTTAATTCTCGTTAACGTTTCGTCATAATTCAACCATGACTGTTCAAAGTCAATTAAAATCGCCGTTTATTAATAACTAGTTTTAACCGCTGACTTTGTCCGCGTGTTTGGAATATTTATTTATTTATACTTTTGCACACATTAAAATATGTCTACAGGGCGAACTTAATACCTAATGGCATTCTCTACCAGTCAATCGTTACGTTAAATGAAGAGAGTAAATGGCTGTGCATTGGTTTAACAAAAACAATTTGTAATTTAAATATTTTGTGAGATAACAACATTAATATATTTTAAGATATAGTCACCAGGACCCATAGTTTAAAGAATTTAAAGTTTATCAGAAATACAGTGATAAACTTTAAATTCTTCTTGGTAATCATTATAAATGCAAAGTTGCCCAGTTTGTCGTCCTATGAAGTACTTCTATAATTGAAGTGCCGAGTAAGTTGTGTAAATATTAGTCAAGATATTGTTAACGGATGAATAAGACAGACACGTCATTAGATCAACAGGAAATAGTGGTTTCCACTGCTACTAGTAGATTGTAAACGAAATAAAAATAGTTTAGGGCCATTGTCTATAACAGTGGATAGTTAACGTCTGATATGATAATTCTTACTGTACTTATACAATAGTATTGGTATATTTATTAATTATTTCAAATTACTCAGCGGGCTATAGTAAGGGATATGCTCGGAGTTTCTTTGCGTGATATAATCTGAAACAAGGAAGCAAAAGAACCAAAGTAATTGTCATAGACCGAACGATAAGCAAGCTGAAATGGCAATGCACTGGTCACATAGCTCTAAGAACCGACAAAAGTAAAGAAGGAAGGTTCTTGAGTGTCGAGCCCGTACGGGCAAAGGCAGTGTAGGACGGGTTGTCCTACACTGCCTTTGCCCGTACTAGATGGATTTATCCTACTAGATGGAGGGACGGCCTTAAATACATTGCAGAGAGTCATTGAATGCAGGTGGCTCAGGACCGATCCTTATGGCAGTCTATGGGAGAAGCCTATGTCCAGCAGTGAACTGATAATAGCCGGAATATTAATGAAGATGATATTAACTGTCTTGCTTATTTTCTATATTGTACAATGCAAATAAAGTATACTCATTCATTTATTCATTTTTTATGCTACTTAAATTGGCAAACAAGCCAACGCCTATCTAATGAAAAGTGGAAACTATCGCCTATAAAGGTGAGCAACGTCCTCCTGGGTATCTATTCCTGAAGGCTATGATGTCATGCCTCCATACACTGTGAATTCATTACTATCTCTCATTCATCACAGCACAACTATCTTAGTACAGCTGCTTTACGGTAGACATTCCCTCAGATGTATCCATGCAGACGATTTTTGTATAATGTATCCCACTGATTCTGGGTTATGATGATGAAGTAAGAAATATCAAAAATGTACGTATAACCCAACCAGTAATAATGACGAGAACTGATTTTTAATGATAGGAACCCTACTGCACCATTACTACCCCATAAATTGTAATTCCAAGCAATTTCCCCTGGTCACTTGCGTGATTATTTTTTTATACCATAGAGATTGAAACAAGTATACAGTTCGTCTGATGGTAAACTGTTACTGTAGCCTATGAACCTCTGTAAAATTAGGGGTGTCACATGAGCGTTGCCGACTTTGGAGAAATCTTAATATACCCTTTTTGACGAACCCCATACTGTAGTCTCTAGGGAAAATCTTGGCAGAGCTCATTCCATAGCCTGAACTTTTACGGGGGATAATTCCTTTGAAACCACTAAGGATAAGGGTCAACTAACATGACTTCTCTCACCTATAATCTTTCGATTTCCTATGGATAGTCCATAGGAAACTAATGGAATATCCATCCATATAAATGATTGAACATTAAATTTTTAATTGTTAAAAAAAATAAGGATTAGATAGTACTCGTATGTATACAATTCGTTCTTGGCCGGTTTCAACTTTATTTTTTTATATATAGAACTAACAAAGTAAACACTGATTGTGTCGGAAATAGATATAACAATAAGCAATATTCTCACGGTTAGCATAATTTTTCCACGAAAAGGCCCACTAATTTAATCTAGACCAGTTTGTTATTTCTAGTACTTTAAAGTGTAATATTGATTAACAGATACTATGACTTTAAAGACGTGGGCTATATTAACACTTACAAACAAACGATGAAGAAAGACTACTGGGATTCCATTGTTGGAAAGGTTTTGCTATATAATTACACTGAGAAATATTGAGTGAGAAAAAGTGCATTGTCAAATTATGAAGCATATGCTACAGTTTGTTAGTAAAATAGATTTAGAGATAATAAACCAAATACAAATTCAAATTATCTTCATATTTGAATAAACTTGTTTACAAGCACTTTCAAATAATAATTTTTAAATCTACTGCAGAGTTCAGAAAGTTGTTATCTGTTGAGAAGAGCCCGCAAGAAACTCAGCAGTTATTTTTTTAAATCTCTGTTAATATATATATATATATACATATATATATATATATATATGTATATATATATATATATATATTATAAGTACACATATATTTATTTAAGTGACGACTGTGTCTAAAATTACATGATCATTAAAAATCCCGTGCATGATCGACTAAAACCATGGACGCTTGTCTTTTTAAGACCAAGACCAAGTGCATGATAATCCTTTAGACTGGATCTATGAACGGCATTTTATTTGCAATTTAATATATTCAATTCTCTCTCTCTTTTCTCTCTTTTCATTTAAAAGTTTCCTCTTGTCGGTGTATTCAAGCATCTTCTTCTAGCCCGTTCTATCCCAGGCCATATCCTTGACCTTCCCAAAAGACATGACACCTAGTGTTTCATTTATCTGTCCCATGTAGTAATTCTTTGGTCTTCCCCTTTCTCTTTTGCAATCTATTTTTCCTTCTACTATGCTCTTAAAAAAATCGTCATGTCGTATAAGGTGACCCAGCATTTTGCCTCTTCTATACTCTATTGGTTTAATTAAAGTTCGTTAAATTAATATTCAATTAAGCATTATAAAACTAAATTGACGGTAATCAAAGACATTTCAATGAAATGAACCTGTATAAGATTTTTATTGGCATTGTTTGGGTTTATGTGTAGCGTTATTTATGTTAAAGCCACTTAACATCATCATCATTATCTTCCTAACCTTATCCCAATTATTATTTGGGGTCGGCGTAATATGGTTTTATCCGCATTACAAAATAGGCTTTTAGTTTTACGACCGGCCGCCTGCCTGACGTCAACCCTCTTTGGGAATACATTTGTTGGTGGTCTCCTCCACCTACAGTATGGAGGAAAAGATTGAGGTAAAAAGAAAGGGAACGTTGGAAATGCGTAAAGGAAATTGGTAAATGAGAGGAATAAGGGATTATGTGGGAAAGAAAGAGGAAGTGGGGACACTGCAGTTGCGGAAA